TGATCGCGTTGGCTCGCGTTCTCTCGTCTGGAAAAACCGAATTCGTTCCGAGATTCATGGATTCGTTGCCGGCGTGGAATTCATGAATCCTTTTTTGCCGCTTCGAAATTTATGGACTCGTTCCCTGGTTTATATTTATCTGTACATACGTACGTATGTGTGTGTGTGTGTGTGTGTGTATCTACGTATGTATACGTACACACGTGAAGAAGGACGTGTGTTAAATATAAATGAACGTTCGCATAAATTCCGATGGCGTTTAGGAGCCCCGTCGACGCCTCGAGATTTATCGATGGATTTTCGAGAGGTCGTGCCGAAATCTTGGCGAATCTCGGAGAACCTTGGGAAAGAGATCCTTTAAGAGGAACAACCAACTCGATAAAGAAACACGATTAATTGTACTTATACGCGAGTATAGAGTAACAAGTACAGAAGAATAAGGAAACTCCAATTAAATGTAAGAAGTAATTTTTATTTGTGATGTTTCCAATTCACAATGGCGGGCGAAAACATTTAAAAGCATTTTTTGCAAAATGGAATTACATTTTAAGCAGCAAGAGCAATGAATATAGTTGCTATCAATCATATTAACAAATTGTTATTATGATTGTTAATAAAAAAAATTTCTACTATAAATATACATGTCCGCAGATACCAATTTCAAATTTTCTTTCGTCCGGCATTGTAAATTGAAGAATCAACTTAAGATCATCAACAGTGACAATGAATAAAAATATTGTCCGGTACATATTAATATCTTACGAACAATTTTAAATTTTCTCTTCGTCTAGTGTTCAGTATATGAAAAAAAAAAATCAACTAGATCCCGTGACTTTATATTTATCGTTGAAAATGAAAAATATCCTCTACCATTCGTTTTCCCGCTACTGTCATTTGTTGCGACGTTCAAGACGATTATCGAACATCGATAAATATAGTCGACCAATTTCCAATCGTTCAGCACGCGACAGAGCCGGTTTCCTCCCATTTTATCGCCGATTTACGATTACTGATATAGTCGGAGATACAGAGATAATTTTAGGGGGGAAAAGAGAGAACGCGAGCAACGAACAAAAGCTTCGTTAGACGATTTCATCGACGAAGAATCGTGAATGAGAAACGACGAGATCCACTCGATGTCGATCGATCGATGATCGTTTCAGAGGGATCCAGGAGAGAGTTATATAAGATGGTTTATTAGCTCTGATACTAAAGAAAGAAATAACATAAAATGAACAAAGCTTTCTTGAGACAAAGAAAAAGAAGTTCGATGTGTAATGTAATCTCCGCAGATTTCTTTTTCTTTTTTTTTTTTTTTTTTTTTTGCTTTTCTTCTTTCCAAGGAATGGAAAGCAGCTTTGTTTCGTTTCGTTCACGTTTCAGAAACGTTGATTGTTCGAGTCGAATCATCGTTGGCCATTTTTCATCGTTTCCTGGCCATGATTACTAGAAATGACTCAGCCTCGTGAATCGAATATCTGAATTTGAATTTGATGATGAAGCTTATGATTTCGACT